AGGTCCCTGATTGTCTCAGTTAGGGTATCTCTTGCTGTGCTGAAACACCATGACCCAAAGGGCAAGTTGGGGAGGAAAGGGTTTATTTGGCTTACACTTCCACATTGTAGCCCATCATTGAAGGAAGCCAGGACAGGAACTCAAACAGGGCAGGAACCTGGAGGTAGAGGCAGAGGCCATGGAGGGGTGCTGCTTACTGGCTTGCTCCACATGGCTTGCTCAGCCTGCTTTCTAATAGAACCCAGGACCTCCAGCCCAGGGATATCACCGCTCACAATGAGCTAGTCCCTCCCCCCACCAATTTGCTAATAACAAAAATCCCCTGCAGCTGAGTTTTGAAACAGGGTTTCTCTGGGTAGTCCTGCCTGTCCTATAGACCAGACTGGCCTCAAACTCAGAGATCCACCTGCCTCTGCCTGGAAAGTGCTGGGACAAAAGGCGTGGGCCACCACCGCCACATCTAGCTCTACAGCTGACTCCTACGGAGGCATTTTCTCAATTAAAGTTCCCACCTTTCAGATGACTTTAGCTTGAATCACATTGACATAAAACTAGCCAGGCCACTAACCGAGCAACCATTCGGGAAGTGGCTAGACTGAGCTTTCCAAGTGACATGTATTTCAAACATACCCTCTTTCCAAACTGCCACCCAGGCCACAAACCAAACCAAGGTCCACATGGCAGGGTTGCAAGGAACCCTCCAGGCTTTAAAACTAAACACTAAAATACTAAAGGCCTTTAGTCCCAGAACTTAGGAGGCAGAGGCAGGGGGTTCTCTAAAATTGAGGCCAGCCTGGGCTACACAGAGAAACCTTGTCTTAAAACACAAAAACACGGGCTGGAGAGACGGCTCAGAGGTTAAAAGCGCTGTCTGCTCTCCCAGAGGTCCTGAGTTCAATTCCCAGTGTCCACATGGTGGCTCCCAACCAGTCTATACTGGGGTCTGATGCCGTCTTCTGGCGTGCAAGTGTGTGCGCAGTCAGAGTGCTCATAAACATTAAATAAAAAAAAACACAAATTAAACAATTAAAGCTGTACAGAAATGAAAATTACAACCCCCCCCCATTCCCTTCTCTTTCCATTACCAGTTCATACGGAATAATCTGGGTCAAGGAAAATCAATCCCAGCAGCTCTGGGGATTAACTGACCACAGGCTTGACTCCTACCTGGATCACAAAAGTTGTTACTGGATACTTGGAGTCATTAAACCTACTGATTCATTAAACCATCTTGGTTCCCTGTATCTTTTTAAATTGGTTTATTTTTTTATGTGCATGTGTGTCTGCATCTGTGCAAGGCGCCTCTGGCAAGGTGGGTGCAGAGGCCAGAGGGTGTCCTTCCTGGAACTGGAGTTATGGGTGGTTGGAACCTGGTGTGGGTGCTGGGAACTGAACTCCCACCCTATGCAAGAGCTTTCAGCGTTCTTAACTGCTGAACGGTTGCTCTAGCCTCATTCCCCGTATTTCAAAAGAAATTGGGGGTGGTGTGAGGTGGCTCAGCGGGTAAAGGCACCTGCGGCCAAGCTCTTTGATGCGAGTTCAATCCCCAAGACCCAAGTGGTGAAAGGAGAGAACTGATTCCTCCAAATTGTTCCCTGCTATGTGGACACATAAACATAAACTAAAAACTCGAAGGGTAAAGAGGAAATGGGCTGGGGGATGGCTCAGTGGGTAAAGCATTTGCTGTCAAGGCATGGAGACCCAAGGTCAGATCCCATGTAAATACCAGGTACCCCTGACAGTTCACTTGTAAGCCCAACCTCGGATCACCAGAGCAAGCTGGCTAGTCAGCCTAGCTTTATCTGTGAGCTCTGGGTTTGTGAGATCCTGCTTCATTTAAGAGACGGAAGAGCAACGCATGGCTCCCGACATCAACCTTGGGACTCCCATATGCACGTGGACACAAAAAAATTTAAGAAACAGAAATTGATAAAGGATTTATTTACAGTTTGTTGAAACACAGGAATGGGGGAACACACAGCTGAGTCCCTTCTGTTTTGTCTGTGGCCATCTTACAATTTAATAGTTTTATTAACTTTTATTATTTATGTGGGACTCATGTCATGGTAAGTACATGGAAGTCAGAGCGTGGCTTTGTGGAGTTGCTGTTCTCCTTCCACCTTTAGGAGGGATCTGGGATTTGAACTCAGGTCCTAAGCTTGTATAAGTGCTTTTACCTGCTGAGCCATTTCTAGACTCCATCTTACAGTTATTAGACAACGGCCAGACTACATAAAGACTTAACTGTGAGGAGGGACAATCATCCTTCCCTAGGGGACCACAGGCTGTTTTCAGCTTTTGAGTCCAGACACGGGAGAGTATGGATCCAAACAGAGCCTCTATTCTGAAGGAGGAAGGAACTGGGTTTGTGGGATCCCTGCCCATTCTGGGGCTGGCAGATTTCTCTGTGACGCATTCCTTTGGTAGGTGGAAGGTGTAGGCTTTCTATAGTCTTAGAAACTGTGTCAGACTCCATGCTCCTGATAAAACGGTAATTTTGCAAGCAATAGTTGATAGCTGAAGGGGTCAACAGTTCTCAGCTGACGAAATGCTGGGGCACCAGGTCCAGAGGTGACCCAAGTTCCTTCCTTCATCTAAATGGATAGTGTTAACCTGCGTGCCTCCATTTTGAGTCCAATTGCCAAGACATAATGTCTCTACATTTAAGTTTTTTCAAGACAGGGTTTATCTGTGTAGCCCTGGCTGTCCTGGAACTTGCCCTATAGACCAGGCTGACCTTGAACTCAAGATCTGCCTGCTTCTGCCTGGGGTCAAAGGTATGTGCCATGAGCATGGAGAGACTTGTGTATTAAAAACTCACAAGTATGATTTTGATGATATCTTCCTCACTTACGTTATTTGAAAATGTTTCTTTTGTTCGAGGTAAATTCTCACTCTGCAGTCCAGGCTGGTCTCAAACTTGCAGCAATCCTCCTGCCTCACCCTTTTTAATGTTGGGATTGAAGGCATGAGCCATCTTAGTGGCTGGCACATTTAAAGGATTTCTAGGGAACCTCCCCCCTCCCTTTTCTTTTCCCCCTGAGATAAAGGAATGTTTCTCTGTGTAGCTCTGGCTGTCCTGGAACTCACTCTGTACATCAGGCTAGCCTCAGACTCAAAGATTTTGCTGCCTCTGCCTCTGAGGGCTGGAGCCAAACAGGACTGCAGGCTGATAAGATCAAAACAGAGACCAAAGGGTACAAGAAATCCTTACTGAGCTACAGCAGATGGGAATGAAGGCCTGCTTGTCAACTGTAAACAAAATCTATAATCTCAGTTGTGAAATTTACTAAGTATAGGGTTACCACTGGGAAAGGAGTCGGACTAAACTCAAAGGTCAAACACACTTGAGCTGTTACTTTAACATTTCTATTTAAAATACTAAAAAAAAGGGAGCCTCGTGGGCAATCTTCACATCCGTCAGCTGAAATGCAGCTTTCACCGGGGAGACTTTAACGCCACTCCAGGTGAGGGGCTCCCCTCCTGCCCCATCTTCAAACTTTCCCTATTTCTCTCTTACATCTGTCGGCTTAGCCTCTGCCAGACAGCCTGGCTGAGTCATGCAGCCTCTTCAATTCTTCCGTAGCCATTCCGTAACCTGTTAAATGTGTGTGGCGGTGTGATAAAATTATTAAGGTTAGTAATTAAGGTCGGATTGGAGTGAAAGAACCTGTTTGCCAGTGGTCACAGAAGCTTATGCAGTTGAAGAGATCTGTAGATTTGTTACTCAGTAAATTCTGACGGTGTGGGAAGGCACAAACTTGCCTGTTCCTGGCGATCCTGCCCCGGAACAGAAGCTTTTAAAGGTAGGCAGCCTGGCCTGTAGCATCTGACCTCGGTCATTTTCAAAGTGAACTTAGAAAGTAGGGCTTGGATCCTTGGGCCTGAGCAGGGATGAGGCCACACAGGTTTCAAGTGGTGTGCAGATGGCCGGGTCCTGATGCAGCACCTGAGCCTGCGCAGTCCTTCCTGGCCTGTTTTAGGATCAGCCACCTGCCCAGTGTGGGAGGCAGGCTCAGGTGGCTGTTGGTCCTCAGCTCGGATGACTCACAATGGCCAGGAAGGGATCTATGGTCTCCAGCATGCTGCTTGGAGAAGGGGTGGGTACCCTTGCTGACCCTAGAAAGACCCTGGACTAGGTTGATTGGGGCTTCTTCCTAAATCAGACGTGGATACAATGTTGCTAGCAAGTTTCCAACTATAAATAAGTCAAAGGGCACACCACCGGTGAGTGAAAAGCGATCCTGGTGCTGCATCAGACACTGGGGACAATCCTCCAAGATTCCAGGACTGGATCCTGATCCAGTCCTGATCCTGATCCTAATCCTGGGGAAGGGTGCTGGGAGTGGAGTCCGGAAGGATAAGGGGAATGGGGGCTAAGAAACTGGCTGGAGACGCAAAAATATCTGGGCGTCGCAGGAAGAAAGAGGGTCTGACCTGAGCCATCAGAACATCCTGGGGCTCCAGGGAACCTCGGAGGCTGGGAGGGAGTCTAGGCTGAGGCTCAGGATGATTCCAGGGAGAGTGAGGGGGGCAAATTCAAGCTGGGCCCAGGAACACCCCGATTTCTAGGGGAGGCACCCCTCCTTCCAGGAGGACTTCAGGGAACCAACGAGGGTCCAAGTTTAGCTCAGGAAGACCCTGAATGCGGTCAGGAGGACAAGGGGATCCAGGCTGGGCCCAGGAACACCGCAGTACCCCAGAAGGACTCCAGGGGGCTGAAAGGGGGTCCAAGCTGGGCCCAGTAACACCCGGGTGGGACCCCGGGAGGACTCCAGGGGGCCGAAAGGGGGTCCAGACTGGGTCTAGGGGCACCCTGATGCCACGGGAGGGTCGAGGCTGGTCCCGCGGAGGGCCCCTCACGTCCCCTCCCCCGCCCGCCGTCCGTTGGCCGAGGCTCCCGCCGCTGCGCCGCGGGCCCGGCTCCTCCCCCGCGCATCCGTCCGCGCGTGTCCCCGCGTCCCCGCGCCCGCCGTCCCGCGCCGGCGGAACTGTGGGATCGCCGCGCACAGGAAGTGGCGGCGGCGCCGAGGCGGAGGGCGGCGATGGGGGCCCGGGGCGGCGGGCGCCGCACTCGCTGAGGCCCGACGCAGGGCCGGGCCGGGCCCAGGCCGAGCGCTGCGGCCGCGCGCTGCGGACGCGAGGACCGCGACCAGCAGGTGGAGTGCAGGTGAGCCGCACCGCACCCCGCCGAGCCGCCCGAGGTCGCCCCCGCCC